ACGCACTTGTGGGCATTCACCTTGCGGAAAGGGTTGTGGTAGAACAGCCATGACAGCCTTGGTGCTCTAATGAACGGAGTTCAGTCTTGGTTCGACACCCTCCCCAGACGGCAATGAGACAATGACACCAGCCAGCCAAGATCGTCACCCCCCATTCTTTCTGGTCTTCCCCGCAATGTCTTGAATGTTACTTGCTCTCATCTCACCCTTACAATATCGGTTGTAGGTTTGCAGCCGAGTGGACTGTTCTCGCAATGTTGGGAAAAGAAGCATGGGGCTGAGCTAATAGTACTACAACGCAGAACGCTAAAGTTGTATTACTCTTTACTTAGGTACTCCATACTACGGAGTACCTGACTTGTAAGTTGTAACCACGCGCGGCGCTTTCTCAAGCTAGGAACAGTCAGCTCACACATGGCTAAATTTGATCACAGGACGTCTGGTGCTGTTCCGACGGGCGGGAACCAAAGTAGTCCAGCCAGAAAAAGACCAGTCGTCCGACAACCCAATGTGGTGATGCTAGAGCATCCCCGTCCATCCAGTGACCTCCGTTTGTACTCCGTACTATGCTGTAATTCCACACTGTGATTCGGCGCAGGGAGAAACATGTTTTATCTTTATCTCCTTGTGTCAGCTTCTTTAATTTCTTATCAAAAATGCGACACGGGCACAACGGTCCAGTATGCCACTGCCACTGGTAAAGACGGGAGGTCACGGGTCCGGCAACATTATCCAATGTTCAAAGTTTGGTACAGCCTATTTAACATAGCACGACGCCTCCACTCCTGCGCAGATATAATCTACAATGTCGGCCGGCTGCAACGCCCGTTTGCATAGGCCCAGTGTCTCAATATGCAAATCGCCAATTACATGGCCAAGGGTAGCCCAGTGAAACCAATAGCTATTCCACAATCTAGCCTGAATGCCTGTTTGCGCAAACCGCAGATCCGCGGCCGGGAATATACCAAGGTCTGTGATGTCTGGTGGAGCCAGGAATGAGGGCCAGGCCAAAGCGGCAGGTACATATGTACAAGCATACGCAGACAGCAAAGTAAACCCAACTTTAGAACAGCCTCTTCTTCTAGAAATGGTCTCTGGTTCCGAGACATTGTTAAAAGTGAGACTCACTAAGATCCGCTCCGATCGCCGCAGCCTTGCAAGAAGTCGTGCAAACTTGGCAGAAGAAAAACACGGAAGATTGAAATAAAACAAACTGTATTCCATACTCACTATCAAAATATGAGTGAATATAAATTGTATAAATGCAAGACACTCGTAACTAATACGCCAATTTATATTTTGGATCCATGGTTGCGCTTGCGCTGCCAACAAATCCTCTTTGGATCTGTTCCGGTATATTCCATGCTCTTATCACCCCGACCTCCATCAGCCTGGCTCTTCTCGAATAAATTGGGAGGAACCCTGCGCTGAAACCTACTATGTACAATCGCGAATTCCCCAAAACCAAAGTCTACGTGACTGGATCAGCTTCTCTGTGGAGCTGTTCCGGACTGGCCATGTGGCGGGTCATAATGGTCGTTACTGTTTCAGAGAAATGTCTCGCTTTAAAAGATTGGTAGTTGATGCAGTCCTTTTCATGTCGTTATTTTCATTCATAAAGCCTTGGTGCGGTTAGCCGTGTGCAGCAGACTGCCAAACTTCCAGACTTCGTCCAAGATTAGCTGTTTTGATCCAGAGCCTGTCGTGAATTCTTCTTCGGAAAAAATGACGAGATCAGCATCGGCGCCCGCTTCCAAAGATCCCTTGATGCCCTGAAAGCCCAGCATGGCTGCGGGGGTTGAGGTCACGGCCTTGAGAGCTTGAGGGATACCTGTGCCGGACCATTCCAGGAAGTTATTGACGCATTCAAGCAACGTGATGGAGCTGTGCCAAAATTGTTAGCTTATTACGCGAGTGCATTGCAGCATTTATGCATGTACATATGTGTGTGAGCGGGGCATGTAGGAGTAACAAGGCCATCGCCCTATCACCACCACATGAGGGGAAAGACGACAAGGGGCAAGTCAGATATCCTGGCATTCTCGAAACATACCTTCCGGCAATGGTATCCGAGTTCTCCAGCAACAGCTTGGATCCCTTCTTGATAATATTGCACGTTTGCTCGCCGTTGGTCCAAGGGTAAGCACCGTCGGGCAGGCCAACAAGGTGCATGGCGTCGGTGACGAGAATGAAGCCGTCAGGATGCGCATTGAAGGCGATCTTGATGGTTGTCGGATGAAGATGGATTCCGTCAGAAATGATGCCAAAGTAGGGACGTGCCAGGTTTTCCGCTTTGCCAAGAACACCAAAGATGCCGGGATTACGATGGTGAAGAGGCCGCATAGCGTTGAAAAGATGGGTGATCATGGTCGCACCACGGCCCACGGCCTCGGACGCCTCCTCATACGTGGCCTCGGAGTGGCCAACAGAATAGATGATGCCTCGCGATGCAATCTCAGGGATGAGTTTCATCATCTGCCCGCGCTCGGGGGCAGCGGTAATCATCTTGACTGGGATCGGTTCACCCTCGCGCTGAGGCCGCAAGTTCTCAGCGCCATAGCAAGCCTCAATATCAGTGAATGAGTGTGCCTCTATGAGCACGTCGATGTTGTGGACTCCATTCTTTGTAGGATTCAGGAATGGTCCTTCGCAGTGAGCACCGAGTGATTCGGCACCTTCGTGTGCATTTCTGTTTGCTCCAGATGGTCCGAGGAAGGGGAGGGCCTGTGACAAAAAGGGTTCAGTTAGCAGTGCATGGTTTTTTCCTTTTTTTTTTTTAATTACTTGAAGAAGTGTTTTTGCATATTTGCTGCAGGCCAACGGCGTGAGTTCGGGTTTTAGTTCAGGGTTTTTGGTTTTTGGCTATTTCTTTTTTTGGCGTCGAACGCCCATGGGGACAACTTAATTACGCCCTGGCCGCAAAAGGCATATGCAGGATGAGCCAAAACCCACCTTTTGATATAGCTCCGGCCGTTGACTGGTAATGGTCGGGATGTATGATGTAACGCCGGTCTGGACAAGCAGCTTGTTCACTTCGTTAACCTTCTTGCCATATTGAGACATGTCATCGAGCAGCGTGGAGAAGTTGAAGCCGAAAGCTCCGTTGAGCTGGCACTCAATCATGCCGGGGGAAATAATACGGCCACCAAGATCGATGGTCTTATCGGGAAGATTCAACTCATCGAAGAAGGTGGCCTGGCTGTTGATGATCTTGCCCGTTATTGAGCTGACCCAAAGGTCCTCGGTAACCAACGCATCGCCTTTGACCAGACGGCAGTTGGTAAATTTGGTCAAGCCGTTCCTGGGCCGGGTCGGAGGAGATAGGGCGATGGGCATGATTTGTTCCAGGAGGGCGCGCGTAGAAAGTGAAATGATTCTATCTGGGCCTAGGATTGTTGTAGATCAAGCGAGGGAGGGAAGGAAGGAAGGAGAAGACGGGATCGAGGGAAGAAAGTTGAAGGGCAGCAAAGTTCGGAATCGGCGTGATACAGTGAACGGCAGTTGAGCTTCGGAATGGAATGCTCTCCCCGAGCGTCGTCAAGTGACTGCCATCCAGATTTACTTCACAGCTCGATGACAGTTATAAGAGTCCATTGACCCGTTCGGCCATGGCCTCATGGTTACTAGTCCGAGATATTCAGTGTTGCGCCCCGCCGATTCCGATGGAGACACGCCCAGTGGTCAGGGCACGAGGCCAGGAAGGGTGCGGCGGTAGGCTCTGACGGTAACGACGAAGCCATGAAACACTACGACAAGCGCACTTATTATGGGACAAGTTTGCCATGAGCATTGTCACGGTGCCATGCGATGGCTCAAGGCTGGCTGCTAGGCGGAGTCATTGGCAGCGGCGAGGGCGGAGATGCCGGGATGGGAAAGGACAACATTTGAAGAGGAAGGCTTTTGTTTCTCTGCAACGGCTGCAGCAGCGCCATCTACCGTCAGCGGTGCCGGTGCCATACATGTATCGAGGCTAAAAACCTTGGGAGCGTATCAGCCGGCAAGCACCACAAGTCGGAACTAAGAAGCAGTCGATGGCACTGTCAATCAATTGATGGAATCTTCCTAGGTACCAGGCTGCATGGAGGGGTGCGGCCCGCTGTAGCTGTCACTGCTCAGCAAGCAGATCCCGTCGAGCGATTCATGGCTTGGCCCATGTAACGTTGACTTTTGCACGTTGCCGCTTGTCACGGCTGCAAGACAACATCCCAGATGGCCCCCCCTTCCTTCTTTCCCCAGTCCATCTCCAATTAAGAACAAGGGCAAAAAAACACTAAAAAAACTTGGCCACTCCTGTGTCTCATTGATCCACGCCGGCGTCGCGTGGAAACCGAAAGCCGGCGAGTCGCCCCCCGTCCCAGATTGAGGCTCCGAATATGCTAGTGGAGAAGCCGTCAATCGCGAAGCATCCTGGAAGCCTGGCCGGAACATGATGCTTGATGAAGAATTTATGCCAGCCACTTGAGAGAGGCTGAGTCCCACTGAAGCCACCCAGACGACATTGGCCAGCACTCGACGACACGGATGGTACAGGGTAGCCTGAGCCGCTGCTGCTGGCTGCATGTGCATGTGGCCTGTAATGTTATCACTCTCCCCAGACTGACTGTTGGGCGGCCGACGTTGAACCGGCCATTCGACCCCAGACCTCCCAACACGTCCCGACCTATCGATACTTCTGGCTCGACATGGAGCTGGAGACGGCTTACCAACATTGAACATCTCGGCCAACCAACATTGAACCCCAGTGTAGATTGAGACTGCGCCAACACGCTCAGATCTGCCGAGCACTTGTCCGCTAGTCCTCACGCGCCTGTCCTTGCCAGCCCGTTTGCAACATCATCGAGCTTCGCAGAGCTGTCCTGCAGCTTCCGACTGCCGACTGCCAATTGCCATTGTCCGTCATCAATTGTCCATCGTTCCGCAAGCCGGACGGCTACTATGAGTGTATCAACGTGAACAAAGCCGCAGTCGCCGTCCCTGTCCCCATCCCCGTCCCATTCACCATGGCTGCTGCCAACCTCAACCCCAAGAAGCCAAACTCCAGCTCAAGCTCTGATGGGAGCGACCTGGACCCACTGTGGCAGAACCTCGACTGGTATGTTCTTTTTGATCAGATATCTGTGCTGTGTAGAAGCTGTCCTTTGTTGGGTACTATGGCCCAATGTCTGCTTCAATTTCTCAATGCCGCCGTGGCTAACGCTTCACAGGGCTGTTGGGCAGATGCTGATTATGGGCTGGGATGGCACTGAAGTTACCCCTCAGATCAAAAGTCTTATTGAAGATCACCATCTTGGGTCCATTATTCTCACGGCTAAGAATTTGAAATGTTCGTTCGGCCCCCTTTGCCGTCTCCCTTATTCCGTTGCTGGCTGTGGAAACCCAGCCTGTTGTGCTTGCTGGTTTAAAAAAAAAGAACATGTTCCATCTCAGCCATGCGATGTGCCCTACATCTATTACCCCCATGTGTAGCTATATTTTCATCACCAACTGTGCTAACTCCAAGGACTAGCTGCCCAAGAGACTGCCAAGCTCGTCCAGGAATTACAGACCATAGCCAAGAATGCCGGCCATCCTCAACCACTTCTCATCGCTGTGGATCAGGAAAATGGAGGTGTCAACAGTCTTTTTGACGAAGACTATGTCTGCCAATTTCCAAGCGCCATGGGCATTGCCGCCACTGGACGCGTCGAGTTGGCCTACGAAATCTACAAGGCCACGGCTTCCGAGATCTCAGCTTGCGGTGTCAATCTCATGCTTGGTCCCGTCTTGGATGTTCTGAACAATGCGAGGTACCAGCCGCTCGGTGTTCGTTCCACCGGGGACGACCCCCAGGAAGCCTCACAATATGGCCTTGCCGCATTGAATGGTATTCGCGACGCCGGTATTGCTGCCGCAGGAAAGCATTTCCCTTCGTATGGCAATTTAGACTTTCAAGGCTCCAATTCCGCTGTTCCAGTTATTACCCAGACATTGGAAGAGCTGAGCCTCAGTGCTCTGGTTCCATTTCGAAATGCGATTGCAACTGGCAAGCTCGATGCCATGTTTGTTGGTGGATGTGGTATATCAAACCCATCTATGAACGTTGGTCATGCCTGTCTCTCCGACCAAGTTGTCGACGATTTGCTCCGCAACGAGCTGGGGTTCAAAGGAGTTGCCATCTCCGAATGTCTGGAAATGGAGGCGCTCAGTCATGATTTGGGCGTCCAGAACGGTGTGGTCATGGCGGTCGAAGCGGGTTGTGATCTTGTTTTGCTATGCCGTGCTTATGATGTCCAGCTCGAAGCGATCAAGGGTCTAAAGCTTGGTTACGAAAATGGCATCATCACAAAAGATCGCATCTTCACATCCATCAGACGAGTTCAACACCTCAAGTCGACTTGTACTTCTTGGGCAAAGGCTCTCAATCCTCCAGGCATCTCACTTCTCTCTCAGCTGCACCCATCGCACGTGTCGCTATCTCGCCGAGCTTATGATGAATCCATTACAGTTATTCGGGATAAAGAGAAGATGCTTCCTTTGTCCAGCTCCATGCATCCCGGAGAAGAGCTTTTATTGCTTACGCCTCTTGTCAAGCCCTTACCTGCCTCGGCTATGACCAAGAGCTTGCTTGAGTCTAAGAAGACATGGTCGCAAGCCCCAACACAGCATGATTCCTGGGCACATAAAGACCGCGAACGAAGTGCCATAATGAGCGGTGAAGGGGTGTTCCGTGAGTTTGGAAAAAACCTCGCCAGGTATCGCAATGAAAAACTGCTTCACACCAGTTATACAGCAAATGGTGTAAGGCCGGGTAAGGAAAATTTTCATCCCCTTGCAGTTCTTTTCAGGTGCATTGGCAGTGCCTAACTCCAATTCCAGTTCATGAAAACCTTATCGCTAGGGCGTCTTGCATCATTATCGTCACGGCCGATGCCAACCGCAACATGTACCAGGCAGGTTTTACAAAGCACGTGGACATGATGTGTTCGATGCACCGCAGCAGGGGAAACAAGAAGCAGCTGATTGTAGTTGCTGTGAGCTCCCCGTACGACTTCGCTATGGACAAATCGATTGGCACGTATATTTGCACTTTTGACTTTACGGAAGATGCCATGTCTGCTTTGGTCCGTGTTCTCGTTGGCGAGATTACCCCCATTGGCAGCATGCCCGGGACTCTTCGCAAGAGCAAAAAGGTTCTCAAATCCCGACAGCACTGGCTCGTCGAAGAATATGACCGAGCTCGCGACTATGGCGGCTTGGAGGATTTGTTGAAAGCCGTTCACAGAGCTAGTGCGCCTGACCTTCATTTCCTCAAATCCACAAGAGCCGCTTCCATGGAACTACACCTACCCAACATCAAGGAGACTCACTTTGTAGTGAGGAACAGCAGCACGGGAGCTCTTTATGGATTTGTTGCTACATACTTTATTGCGGGCGTCGGTATTATTGGGGCTCTGCTGGTCGATCCGAGCAAGCGAAACGTTTCTATTGGGCGATCTCTTCATCGGCGAGCATTGAAAAGCCTCAGCCAGCAGCGAGGTCTCAAGAAGGTCCAAGTCGGAATGTCATTTCCCGGGGTTTTCCTTGGGATCCCTCTGGATCCTGAAGCAAACACCGTCAAGGAGTGGTTCAGCAACAGCGGATGGGACACACAGTTCCCTAGGCGTTTGACGAATATGATCATTCACGATCTGCCAAATTGGGTCGCCCCTGAAGGACTGTTGCAAAGCATTCAGAGGGCCAACATCAGCTTTGATTTGATTCATGGCCTGGAAAACGCAGAAAGTGTACTGCATCATGTTCGTGCGAATGCTAACCCAGAGGTTCTTGAGCTCTATACGTATGCGCTCTCAGAGAACAAAACATGTGGTATTGTCAGAGCCAAGGATCCATCTGGCAATCTAATTGGCACAGTCGTAATTTGCCGACAAGGTAGTCCTCTGGTGACATATATTCCACCTCTGCTCTCTGATGGCGAGGATGTTGGTGGCATAATTGCCCCAATCGTGCCGTCGACGCCGCAGGCAACACTAGTACTGCAAGGTTTGGCTCTCATGGGTGTTCGCCAAAGCAAGGGCCACAGAGCCTCCAAGGCCGTTTTGAGTTGGGTGCGTACTTTTCGCCATTGCTTAAATTTGCGATAGCTCTCTAACAGATACAGATTGTGGACGATGCGTTTGAGCCACTCGTAGCGATGGGATTTGATATACTGCAGGCATTTGAGGAGATTACAAACTCTCCCGAAGTGTAAGCGACAGCATTGAACAGAACCACTTGGCCACTGTACTAATGCGCGCGTAGGTGCCAGACGTGATCTGTGGACAAAAGGGCCCCCCTTCACCCCCTTTTTTATGCCGGGATGCGTTTGACGTACATGATATCCAGTGAAGGGAGGATCAAGATTGCCAGATGCTGCGTCTGATGTCTGAAGCGTATGAAGCCTTTGTAGGAGGTATTGGATGTTTTGATACGATGGCATTGATGTGCTTGAAGTTATATACCGTTTTCTTGGACAAAGGGGGTTACGCGGCGAAATTTGGACGAGTGCACCTTTTCAGTTGACCTTTTTGTGTATATATTGGCTTCCTAAGCCAATTCTTTATTATTGCGACATTGAGAGGCTTATTTTCAACATGAAGCGAAATGGGGTTAAACCTCAAGGCGTTACGCAACCATCCGAACTAAATAATTGTTCTCATCGTAATTCATCTTAGGACCATCATGTACATACCTACCTGCTTAAATACCCCGGGTAGTGAAGTGTCTTCCTGCTTGTTTCCATAAGTGCTTGTCGGAGGCGGCAAACAAACTAAATGTAGCACTAAGCCATTGCATGCTGCATAATTTTATAACAAGGCAGTATTTATAAATACTGGGTGACTGGTATATATCTTGCCCGAGGCTATGAAGAGCCTGCCATTTCTTCTCCTAGAGTGTTGTAGGGCATGTCAGAGATTAGGCGCTGAGAAAAGGTGACGTACCCGGTCCAGCAACGATGCCGCTTAAATATCGGCAGAGTCTACCTCCGGCGTCGGCGAAAAAAGTGCCCCGACAGTCCCTGCTTCTAATTGGTCACAGTTCTCAAAATGGGCCGAGCTTGTGCAAGTGCTCTGTAGGAAGGAGGTACGTACCTAGACGCCAGCCGCTTGGCTGGTCGCTGCTCAGCTCCCCTGTGTCTAGCGAAAGTTGCTTTTGCCGCTGTGGGAGTGGTCGCCAGTCCCCCTCGCTTTCGTGGTCACGCAGTCAATTTACTCCCTCTCATGAACAGCGCCCTCCGCAGACGTCAATTTGCGATTTTATAACATTGATACCCATCGTCATAGCGAATGAAGAGTCACCTTACACTTTAAGGCTGCCGGTACTACCTGCACATCAGCTCACGGTCACAGCGCTGTGCTTCGCATCACGGATCTGGCGCCAGTCTTCTTGGCGTCTTCACTCTCGGGCGGTCGAATTCTCGAAAATCAGACAAGCCGCCCAACATGGCGACACAGCAGATCCTGTTCGCCGAGACAATAGCCGGCATGAAAAAGGCCTTCAAGAGGAAGGCGTATGGTGAGAAACCTATGAAAACACCAGTCTTTCTGCGCGCTGGCACATAGCTAACCAAAAGTCTGCTGGCAGAGTCAGATTCCGACTCCGAAATCGACAGCTTTACCAATCGAGGCCACAAGCTCCAGAAGAGGGCACGATTTGTACACAAAGGGCATTTGGCGCCGGCCACCGGCCCCAGTGCATATAGAGAGGTACGCATCATTATGTCGCTCCTCCGAAATACGACTTGTCGATGTGCAGTCTCCTAACGGGTCGTTCCCCAGGCTGTCGACTACGCTGGCGTTCGACGGAATATCCTGTACCGCAACCCGCCTTTGGTAGACGATGAAGGCTATGAGATTACGAGCGACGATGACGACGACCGAGTAGGAGTCGCTGAATTGGCCGCCGCCGAGCTCAACCCGTACTCCAACATTCGCCTAGAACGTGAGTCGGCCACTGGCGTTTTCGAGAGCCAAGTACCGTGACCAACATTTTTGACATTTTTGCAGATATTCTAGCTCCCCTCACAGCGTCGACCGAATTGCCACACCATCCGACACTTTCCAAGGCCTTTACCTCGAAAACTCTCAATGAGCTCATCAACCAAAGCTGTACACTCATGCGGAAAGAGAACCAATCATTATGGGAGGTGAGGCACTTATGGACCTCGCTTTGTGGCGACGGCGTCTGGATGCCCTGCGAAATGATGATTGGCTCGAACGACATCGATTTATATTCAGACGAGCATGTGGCCCGTTTCCTACAGAGCTTGCCGAATAGCGGCGGCTCGGCAAGATCTTCGGTTGCAGCAGTGAATGGAGATTCAAATCCCTATAATTCCAAAAGCTCGGTATATGGGCGGCAGGGACAACTAGTCGGCACCACTGCAGACGCCGACGTATCCATGATGGATGCGACGGCCGCCAACAATGAAGAAGAAAAAGGCAAGGACAAGGAAGCTGCAATTAAGAGTGAGCCGGCCGGGGTGAAAGTTGACCGGGGCCCAAATGAAACAGAAGCTAACAATGGGATTGCCAACACAAATGGCAACGGCGATGCCCAAAGCAAACAAAATGGAAATGACGGGGGTGTGACAAGTGACGCACCGAAGGAGCAGTCCGCAGGACAGTTCTTGTCGGAATCAAAATCACCGTCCTTCATCCACCCAATATTCCTTCCGCCATCAGGTGCCAAACCTGATAGGAACATGGGTATTCCAGAAAATGAAGCAGAAGATATCAGACGGTTACTGGCACTGTACGTGCAGAAACAAGAAGAAGTGGCCAGAGGGGCAATGAGGCTACACCAAGGCTTGTTGCGGGCAGAAAGATTGCGCAGCAATGTACTTCACTGGTCCAAAGCAGAGGCACATTGTGGGCCAAACCGGGACATGTCTGACGGCGAAGATTGGTACGATAAAGAGGAATGGGGCCTGACGGAAGATCTAAAGAAGGGCCAGGATGAGGAGGAGGAAGATACGACGACGACGGGCAAGAAGACAAGAAACCGTCGGGCTTAGCACTGATACTAGAGTTTCGGCTGTGAAATAATGGCCCTGGCAATTATAGATTAATGATATCCACGAAGCAATCCATTTAGGATAGTATGTAACTACATTTCTTGCCCTCGGGGAGGATGAATAAATCAATGGCTGAGTTGGACAGTCAAGGCCCAGATTTCATCGCACAAGGCTTGGCAGAAATGTCGACTGAGTGATTCCAATGGATGGCTTGCGCTGTAGTAGTAGTAGCGACTGGCCTGTTGCTGCCTCGCAGAGAGAAAGCCTAGAGTCGTCCAAATCAAATATCTCCCCCCTTCCAGGCGCGAGTGACTGAGGAATACGGAGTACATACAGTACGTACCGGTGTGGATGCGTTGTACATACATAACTTGTGACGGTGGACATTGCAACGGCGCTTCTCCACAACGGGACGGTTATGGAACCTGGAGCCTCCACGCAACCCGAACCCGAAGCAAGCGGCCACGGAGGCACGAATCTGAGCTTTGTAGCTAGTATTTGAAATTCTGGCATACATGTTGTGTTTGTAGTATACGCGATGGAATAAAATTCAATCAACTACGCGGGGTACCAAGGGTGCTCGGCCGCCTTTCTGTTCGTATTCACGCAGGCGAAAAGGTAAGAAGCTGCTGCGGCATGTGACGGCGGAGCTCCTCAACGAATTGGAGGTCCAGTCTGGTGGCATGCACCCGGGTGGCCCCGCTTAGCGCCCGTTCCAGTGAAGTCGAAGGAAGCTCAGTGTCGCGCCGCGCTGGGGAGCTTGAGACATCAAACATTGAATGGAGCTGCCCGCCGATGACGCCAGGCTCGCCTACTCGCGGCGCTGCGGCCTGCCCATCAAATGCCAATCAATGGCCACACCCAGCCAAGCAAGGGCATCTGGGCACGTCAAGCTGCCACGGCTCATCGAATGCTACCTTGGCTCTCGTCTTCAATTCTCGCAGCTTCCTCATTCCATCTCTTTCATCCTCATTTTCCCATTTTCGCTCTCCTGCGTCACCAAACCAGCACGACTTCTGTTCTGTTGAGCATCGCCCTCTCGCTCAATCAATTGTCTAGTACCTCGCATGCTTTCCCGCTTCTTGTGACAGGTGGTCTATGTTTTCATTTGCCGCAGTCTCACATCCTGTCCACCATGACGTCGTCTCTGGGCAATCTGATCGACTATGTCGATTTCGACAAGAGGAGCCTGCTTGGTGAGTTGCCTGGAGCCTTGCTCTCCGCCGAGCGAGAATATGTGTGACGGTGTTGCGCACAGATGACGAGAACGCCGTGACTGATTTGCCGTCGTGCTTGGGTGAAAACAGTGTCCGCGGCCTCTATTGCTTTTAATCCGCTGTGGTGGAAGTGAGTTACGCCTGTTTACGTGCCTTTTCGTTCGCGGGAACATCTTTGCGCTGCCCCAATTATCCGCGGCCGTGGGGAAAAAAGAAAAAAAAAAGAGGTTTGCTAACGAAGTCATGTTTCGTACCACAGCATCGTGGCTCGACAAGGTTTGCCTTCCCATTGCCTGTCCGACTACCGGGGCCCCTCCTAGGGTCATCGCCAGCTACCTTCCACGATATACCAACTAACATTAGAAATACTGTAGAGTATCACAACAAGATCCTGACGAAACTATTTGGCGGTAACGCCAAGGCCGCCAATTATGGCCTTGCTGTAGCCATCTTCTCCCTCGGTCTCTTTCGCGACTGGCTCTACAAGGTTGCATTATTGGAGCAGCCGTCGCACCCCTTGCTAGAGACTATCTACTCACAGGCTGCTGCCTACATGTTGTTTGCTGCCGGTAACACCCTCGTCATTTCGTCGACGTACCGTCTGGGAATAAGAGGCACCTTCCTGGGCGACTACTTTGGCTTCTTGCTGGATGAAATGGTGACTGGCTTCCCCTTCAACGTCACTGGTGCTCCCATGTACTGGGGCTCTACCATGAGCTTCCTGGGCACTGCCCTGTTCTTTGGCAAGCCGGCCGGACTCTTGTTGACGTTGTGGGTGTATCTCGTTTACGTGGTGGCATTGCGATTCGAGGATCCCTTCACAGCCGGAATCTACGCCAAGCGGGACCGTGAGAGAGCTGCTGCCAAATCTGGCAAGAAGCAGAATTAAAATCCCTCTGAGGGAGTAATTCGTGGCTTTGGTTTGATAGATCCACAAACCCTGTGCTACACTCGTCCAGAGACACTTGATGATCGCGTGTTTAAGCATCAAAGCCGAAATCGAAAGTTCCCAACCTGCAGCTCGATGACCAAGCTAAGGTG